TTTTGACAAGAGGGAGAGATGTGTTTACATTGTCAAATCTTTGGGTGTTTTCGTTTTGTGTTGTTTTTAATTGAATAATTCTGCTAATTGTCATATTTGTGTACACAAATAATGTAAAAAATAAGTTATCTTACGGACGTCCCACTCTTTCAACAAACAATAATTTGTGAAACATCATGATAAAATCAAGAACCAAAATGATTATACCTCATAATCTGAACGAAAGAAATGTATACTTTTACTGCACCCTGAACTAAGCGCTATTACGAAACCAAGATTTCTTCGTTTCGAAATATTTAATTTTCCTTTCAATTAACTACTTAAAATACCAATGACCCATTTCTTGTATTATTTCTTTGATTTATTAAAGGCAATGGAAATTAATATCGTTTTGGGTAACAAGTCGCTTTAACTGTGAACTGACTTCTCTAAATACTTTTCTGAAAGTCTGTCACGGACCAGGTATCCACCGCGAACATTTTGTGCAACCCTTACTTTTAAACTACGTGCCTGTTGGGAACTTTGGGAAGGTAGTTACCTTGTCCGCGAACTTGACGCGCCTGTCTTCCGGCATTCAGAACTGTGGCGTGCACTTCCATAGAGGCGTGCAAAAGTCGCCCTTTCGCCAAGACTGCAATAAACAGCCAATGGCAGCTGTGCGAACACGGAAAGGTACTGACCTCGTTAAAGGAATTTTGATACCGCTTTGGGGCTCGCAAAGTCTCGGTCCGTGAGAGAGCTGCTAGTGTGACAAATAACTATGTCCCTAATTCTATCATTAAGCGCTTCCTAGATAGCCGTGGATTGGGGTGGAATTAATTGTGCAGATATATTGTCTCTTTTTTACAAATAAATTTCCAATAATAGAATCCATTTGCTACTTAACACTGGTGTAAAGATATATTTACACTTATTAAATGTTAATGGGGCCTAGTCTTTGTTGCCTTTTCTTTTAAGGTCATCCGGTCTCGTACATAATTACAAGATATTAAAATCTCGTGATGAATTGAGCTAAAAGAACTTCCGAAGAAACAAACCGACACGAATGTTGTTGACTTGTATTTTCCGCAAAGTTCAAGAACTATTGCTCATCATTAAAAGTTGTGCGTCGCTTTGGTATGAAAAGTATGCCCAATATTAATTTTAATGTATACTTTGAAGTGTATCTCAAAAACACATTTTACCTTTTTAGGGAACAAGTATTATTAAATTGATAATTCAGCATAATTTACGTTAAACGAGAGGAACTTTTATTCTATGTATGAGTACGCGTATCGTTCTACGATGTACTCGTATCACTTAGATTCAATATTGCTGCAGAAGTCGGATATAGTCGGATTAAAGGCGCGCGAGATGGGTTTGTAATGTTTATTTTGACTTAAAATGACACATTCTACATTACTTCGGGTTTCATTTATCGTGTAAAATAAAAACATCCAGTTGAACAATCCTGCAAAGCAAGAGTACAATTTAACTTCCAATCTGGCAAGACAGGGTTTGTTTTATGTGGTGGAATGTAGTTCGAGTAATTTCTTATTTCTTCCCTTCTTTTACGTGTTCTTTCGTGGTTATTAGTTATTATGAAACAGTTTTATGTTGTTAATAACAAACGTCATTGATGTGTTTATTATAAAAAAGTAATTTGAGATGTACGGCAAAAACACCTTTCCAGGTCCATATACACTATGTGATCAAAAGTATCCGGACACGTCCAAAATGGTGATCTGGTGTGGTCGTGTTTTTCATGGAGTGTTCCTTGTTGTTTTGTGTGGCTCTATCATGGCACTGCCCTACGTTGATGTTTTAAATTTCTTTCACCTTCTAGCTTCCCGCCGTTAAATTCAGGGATGAAGATTGCGTGTTTCAACATGATCGAGCGCATGTTCGTACTGCACAACCTGTGGCGGAGTGGTTACACGACAATAACGAGTCTTGCGTGGCCTGCATAGAGTCTTGACTTGAATCCTATCGAACACCTTTGGATTCTTTTGGAACGCCGACTTCGTGCCAGGCCTCATCGACCTACACCGACACCTCTTTTCAGTGCAGCAAACCTTCCAGTACCTGATTGAAAGTATGGCTGTGAGACTTTTGATCACATAGTGTACTTCGAAGCAAAGTATACCTGGTTGGGAATGTTCCGCGAAACCTTAACCTGACTTGCTGTAGATAGTAAGCATTGTAAATCTATTGTTTCTAATGTCTACAGGGGGAAGCAACAATTCATTCACCATAAAAATTCAAAATTGTATTCCTGCACAATAATACAGGAAATTGTTACCCGGACATTTTTACGATCGTAATAAAATTGTTGTGAAAGATGTGCTTGAATGTTCATGCTTGGCAAAGTCAAGAACAATCATAAGAATTGCGCATCGATCTATTTCTGTATCTTCTGCTAGTCACTGAATTACCGCGTCAGTTCTCAAACTATTCCTCTGTTCTATTAGTATTTTGACACAACTAACTGAGAATATAGCAATAAAATTTCTGAATTTTTCTCTGCCTTCTGCATACTTTATTTTACGGGTGCTTGTCGACAATTTATTGTTACTTTTATTATTATTATTATTATTATTATTATTATTATTATTGATAATTTTATTATTATTGTTTTTTATTATTAATATTATTATCTTTCAAGTCTAACACATAGCAAGATATCGTACAGCAGACACCGGGACTTTTGGAGAACCAAGGTGCCTGCTTCGCTTGCAAACTCGGGCGGATCAGGATTCAACGTGATGATATATCAATAAAAACTTTATCACGATGCGTGCAGTACTCAAAATAACAGCCTTTTGCATTGATTGAATGTGCCAGTTTTTAAGGCCAAGACGTGCAGACGATGAAATCAGTTCTTCAGAGATCAGTCCATCTGCAGAGATGACCACAGGAGCTACTTCAACAGATACTAATAGCCATGTGTCGCTCCGTTCAATAGCCAAGAACTAATATTTTCGCTTCTTCTTGGAAATAGAGGCAACTATATTTCCGTCCAAAGAAATTCTGTCCATTATGTCGACAATAATCCCTTTCCGCTTTCCGTGAGTACTTATCAATCCATATTATGTCAGGTCTGTTGGCTTCGACTTTGTGAACAGTGGTGACTGCTACATTCCACAAGAGCTTCCACCGTTTAGACTCCAAAACTGAATCCGGCTTGAATTTGTAGTATGGGACCTCTTTGTGTACCATATTCGACTTTGACTTTGCAGTCAGGTCCTGATGGACAACTGCAGCAACGTCGTTGTGCCGACTCAGGTATTCTGTTTGGCCCAAAGCCAAGCCCATTATGTGTTGGAGGGTTTCGCCGGGTTGATTGCAAAGGCGGCAGCGGTCCCCTACACTTATATCCCCAATCACATAACTTTGGAAATTACTAATGGAGGTTACTTCGTCCTGAATAGAAATGACGAACTCTTCTGTCTCAGCAAAGAAGGACAGCTTTTGTTAGCCAAGACACTGACGATCCCATATTCACGGCGTTCGCTTTGAACGCAGCAGGATACCTGCCGTGCAAACGATTCTGGATCCACTCACACAGCCTGATCCACTCACACATCTTCTTTCCTGATACATGGTCTTTCAGAGTCCGTTTGATTCAGGTTCAGTAGGGTAAAATTCTTGTCCGTAGCACAAATTGCTTTATTCATGACCATCGTTTTCTGAAGAATGTATTTACGAAGATTATTGATTTGCTTCGTGCACAATGACTCGAAATCCAGAAGATCTCTACCTCCTTCGATCCGAGGTAAGTACAGTGAAGCCATTGAACTGTTTGGATGGTGCATGCAATACTTTGTAAGAGTGGTTGTAACTTTTCCATTAAGTGACCGCAGTGCAGTTGTTGACTAGTGAAGAACACCAAATGTATAGACAGAGACAGATTCTGCCCAAGTGTTGATAGCTGACACGAGGTTCTTTTCATTTAAAAGAGTTTACAGAATTTTGACTCTTTGCAAGACTTCATTTTTAATATCACTCATCTTCGCTTCACTTGTGCTCAAAAGTTGGTGCAGGCCTAAATATTTCTAGGTATCCTCTTACCCAAGTTTGGGATATTTGTGTCACACATCAGGATGAGTTTGTCACGATCAAGGATTGCCCTTTGCACGTGCACTGCAGCGCATTTTTCAATGTCAAACTCCATACAAATAGAGTCGCAGAAGAACTTAACAAGTCTTTCCAATTCTGCGTCTTCCTGACTGAATTCATGATATCTCTGTTTCATTATTATTATTGTATTATTATTATTATTGTTATTATTATTGTCGTTGTTGTTATACTACGAAAGGTGACTGGATAAATATTATTTTGTAGACCTTTATCTCCGAAAAACTAATTTCGTCTTGTTCATACGTGTACTTATTTGGTCGTCTCAAGCTTTAAAATATTTCATTCACGCAGCCCGGCACCCCAGCGGCTTCTACCGCACCCGGGACCTCATCTGCTTCCTTTCTCGATTTGGAACCTTGCACACTTTGCGTTTGTTTCTCTACATGCTGATTAACTCTCCAATTTAACTGCCACTTTCAATGTTTAGAAACGTGCTGCAAAATCTGCGCACAGTCATATCTAACCTATTCGTTCATAGTATTACGTGCGCCAATTGACTTGTGTTAGCATTATATTATTATATTTTTCCTCTTGATCAGTCGTTTTATAAAACAAATTCATGGTTTTATTTATTAAATTAATTAAATTACCAAATAATTAATAAAACTCGTAACAAACGTTATATACATTTCCAATTTTTTTGTTGAAATTTAAGGATGCAGTGTTATGCATTTACTTTTCCACTGGTTATAAACAATGTGCGCCACCGTTAGAAGGATGTCATTTAGCTCAGTACAGAGCGACGACTGTGAACATGGAGCCTCTAAGGCTATCTGTTGCAGGTCGAAGGAAGTTGGATGGTGCAAGGTGAGGCCATGCACGAATGGATGCACGAATGAGTGAGGTTGCTGATTGACGCGCACGCGGCCTGTTCGCAGGAGATGCAGCTGGAGGGCCCCCAGCTGCGCGTGACGCTGGACGAGCCGTCGGGGGCGGAGGCGGAGGAGGAGGAGGCGATGGAGGCGGAGGCGGCGGCGGGGGCGGGGGCGGTGCCGGTGCCGGCGACGGGGGCGCGGTCGCGGTCGCGCGGGTCGCTGTCCGCCGCGCGCAGCCCCTCGGCCTCCGTGTCCCCCTGCAGCGGGCCCTCGCCCTCCTTCCTGTCGCCGCACTTCGCCGCCCGCAACTCGCTCTGCTCCGTCTCCGGTGAGTGCCCTTCTCCTCTGCGGCCGGCGCCGTCGCGCGCAGAGCAGCGCTGCTCAGGAGCTTGACGTGTCTCCGTTGAACAAAAATTTTCAGGCAGAGAAAGTGTTTACATTTAGTCTTACAGCTCAAGAAAGCATTTAAGGGTTTTGATATAATGTTTAAACAAGATAAAAAACAATATTTTAAACGTAATCATAAAGTAATCGGAAGAGCTGGTCAGGTAGACGAAATCATTACGGCAGTAGTGTCATAGCGGTCTCGGACCAGAAGACCGCGGGTTCGAGTTCCGCCTAGGGTAGGGGTGTATTGCTGTGTACGTCTGTATGTGTCGTCCTTTCATCTCTCACTATCATCATCATCATCATCATCATCATCATCATCATCATGTTATCGTTCATACCCCCAGGACTAACAACTTTGGGGGATAAAAATCGAGATTCGGCTAAAATGCTGACCCCTCCCCAGAAAGGTACTTGCGTGTGCTGTAGCAGGATGCACGCATGAAACGAGTTGACGTATATGCGAAAAAAAACCAACAGAAATGGAGGTGCCACTTTGGAAATTACCTCTTTAATTGGGTTAGAATGCTCTTTATCTGCTCCAGGGCACGCCCGTACCAGTTAATCGTGTCCCACTTGCCTCACACTAGGCTAGAGTCTAACGCGCCCCTCCCTTTTCCTGCTCTGCAGGGGCTGGCTTAACAAGTGGCGGCCCGCACTAGTGGACGCAAGTGTTGAGACAAGACCTCTCACTTGAATGCCTACTTAACAGCACCGCTCTTCGTTCGCAAATGAAATTTTGTCGAGTTCTCTCTAGTATTTTCATATATTGTATTTAGGTAAAACGTTAATTATACTCCTAAACGAATTATTAGTAGATATTTTAAAATTGACAATACTTGAAAATTGACAATTTCTTACGTTAGAATCGATTAACTCCTCTGATTGTCTTTCTAGCATTAAGAAATTTCCTTGAGGTCAAATTTTAATATTATTATTTATAAAATATACATTATATTAACTGTACTGACATCCATGAAAGTCGACATTCATCGAAAAAGACAGAGTAAGAATTCATACCATCCTTTAGTTCTAAGAAGGTACATTCCTGCTGTACTAAAAATAAAGACCTTAAAAACCTACAAATTCTTTTTTGAACACCTACATTTGATAGCAAAAATAATGTGATTCTGTGTGATTGTGATTAATTATGTGTTCAGAATACACAATAGTGAGTATCGCTGGCAATGCCTTGGGTGTCAATCCCTTACTATATTACAAGAACAGGATATCACACAGAACTTAAGATACAATAATTTACATGACTGCAGCAGACACCACACCCTCATATGTCCGAAGTCATTACTCTGAATCCTCTTCTAGTACAAATATCCCTTCTAATAGATAATGTCCAACTCAGAATAAATGCAACAAACGTCTAGAGACAACAGTTATAACCTTTTGCCAGTCAACATGTAGTGAGAAATTAAGAATAATCTGTGGTATATATTCCTCATTTTAAGTCATTCATATTGCATGAGTGTTCAATTGATCACGTTCAAGCTATTTCTGATAGATTTCATGAATCAGCCAAACACCTATCATTTGCGCTTAACAATTAGGCGCAAATATCATATGATTACTTTTGTTATATAAGGAAAGATGACTTTTTTACCTTTCTCAAAAAATATCGACAGGAAATCCTATGGGTCTAATCTATGGATCCCTCTAATCATACATCAAATTTATTCAACACGAAAATATAAAAGCAGCAGATGCTGATTTGCAGGTAAAGATCAGGCGTATATGCAACCCGCGACACAGAATTCGATGCAACACATGTTATTTTGTGCCTTACTAAACCTCGATGGCTCGTAGTTTTTTAAACTAGGTTTTTGTGACTCTGAAGGAATACATGTTTAAATGCCTCAACCTACAAAATGAGACATTTGTGAACATTTTTGGACAGTCCCCACACTCAGAAGCAATGATCGTTAGAAACGTTCGGACTTCGTTTTCAATATGCTGCTATTACATATATGCTACAATTATTAACAAATGATTCAATGTTAGTACAAGTACAATTAATGTATAATATTTACTGTGGTGACGAAAGTCATGGGACTCCTCGAAATGTCGTGTCGGACCTCCTTTTGCCCGGCGAAGTGTGGTAACTTCACGTAGCATGGGCTCAGTAAGTCATTGCAAATCCCCTTCAGAAATATTGAGTCATTCTGCCTCTACAGCCGACCATAATTTTGAAGGTGTTCCCGTGGCTAGATATTGTGCACTAACTTGCCTCTCGGTTATGGCCCATAAATAATCGATGTGATTCATGTCGGGCGATCTGAGAGGTCAGATAATTTGCTCATATTGTCCAGAATATTTTTCAAACAAACCTGCTAACATTTGTGGTTCAGTAACATAGCGTATATTCATGTATAAAAACTCCATCGTTCTTTGGGGTGAAGTCCAGGAATGATTGCAAATGTTCTCGAATTAGTTGAACGTAACCTTTTCCAGTCAATAATCGGATCAGTTGAAGCAGAAGTCCCAGTCCATTCCATGTAAAATAGCCTATACCGTTATGAAGTCACCATCAACTTGCAAATTGTCTTGTTGACAACTTGGGACAATGCGTTCGTGGGGTCTGCACCACACTCCAACCACATCTTCAACTCTTATGAACTGAAATCGGGACTATTTGGCCAAGTCTCTGTTTTTCAGTCGCCAAAACAGTATGGTCACAAGGCCAGGATGTGGTGCAGGCGATGTAGTGCTGTTAGCAAAAGCACTCGTGCCGGTCTTCTGCTGTCATTACCCATTAAATCCAAATTTTGCCCCTCAGTCCTAATGGGCACGTTCGTCGTATGTCACATATTGATTTCGACAGTAATTTAACTCAGTGTTGCTTGATAATTTGCACTGACAACTCTACGCAAACCCCTCTGCTATCGGTCATTAAGGAAAGACCACTGAGTTTTCTGGGGTGAATGTTATACTTGGATTTAAGTATCCTCAGCACACTCTTGACACTTGGTATCTTGGAATTTTGATTTCCCTAACGATTTTCGTAATGGAATGTCCAATTCTTCGAGCTCCAACTACAATTCCTCATTCAAAGTCTGTTAATTCTCGTCGTGCGGCCGTAATCACGTCATATTCACATTAATCACTTGAGAACAAATGCAATGCACTGCCTTTTTATGCATTTTGTACGCGATAGTACTTCCATCAGTATATTTGCGTATTGTTAACCAATGTCTTTTGTCACGTCACTACTAGAATAATCTAATGTTGTTTTTATTACCTCTGGCTCTTACTTCATAAGAAGAGAAAGTATTGTCATCGTGTGCAAGAAAAATGAGACAGTAAAACTCCCGGGCCCTAGGAACGAAAAAGTTGATAAATCATGTTCCTATATATAGTAAATAGCATTACTTCCACTAAAACTTTATGTATTAAGAATATGTGTTTTGTGGGACCTTGATAGCGAAGTAGTGATGCTACAACAGCGCACATTATTTCTGAATTTGCAATTTTAGAAAATTTGATAAGTTAAACGAAAATAAAATCTGCGCTTCTCTTTTAAGCTTTCCTTGTTCAATGTGTGAAAAAAAAATAAAGAAACATTTTAAGTGAATTTTGAGCATTTTTTTAAAAAATTGCATTAATTTAAAGCACAAATTTCGAGAAAACTACTTTTATTAAAATAAAACTGTACATGACCTTTTTTAAAGAGCTGATGTCTTAGTACAAATTTCGTTTGAAGCAAAAAAACTCCATCTTTCTTTTTGTACATTTGAATTCTTAACATTTTGCTCCACAAGATTTATGCTCAAAACGCTTAAAGAACGCAGACCGTATTTTCGTTAAAAATCTGATTTTTCGAAAATTGCACTAGTTCAAAATTTTCTCGGCGTCGTCCTTCAAGTAGTATATTAAAGATAAGATAATTTTCCTTAATGAAACCTGTTGTTGAAAGATATCTTGAAATAAGATCGTGTCGAATTATTGAAAAATTTGTGTTTTTTCCATAATTTTGCTTTATACATTCCGGTAGGCAATATTTAAACAATTGTTTTCTCAAAAACGACTCCAATTTTTTCTTTAAATTTTCTTCTCGTTTGAACCAAATAGTGATAAAAAAGTAGTGCAAACTTTGTATTCTCGAAGATTACAAAATGTTAACATTGTAAAAGTACATTTTTTAAGACAGAGATTTTTGTCTTAAATGAAAACTGTTTTTAAAAAAGGTATTTAAAATAGATCATGTACAATATTTTGAAAAAACAGTAGTTTTCACGTAATTTATGCGTGAAGTTATATAAAAAATTAAATTTTACAAAAAGAACAAAAATATTTCCTCAAAACAGCTCTAATTAATAAAATCAGTTTAAATAGGAGATCTCAAGACCAAAATTGGTATAAATGGGGAATAATTTACGGATGTGGACGTGTTACTGAAATACTTTTAATTAGTGTTCATTGTATTTTCTGTAAACAAAAATTACTATATTAGACAATATTCAAATCTATTCTCTTACTAACTAAACAGAAGTTAAATCACTTATTTTGATAACATTGTAGGGTTTTGAAAAGACAGTGGGATGATTAGCTAGCGGGTAGCAGGGTTCGTAGGTTAAACTGATTTATTTGTGACGTTGATTCACGTGTTCACACGTTTCTGTCCACAAACAGCGAGAATTTAAACGATCGTCCTATGTAAACTTGCAAACAAGCAAAACTACACATGGCCAAACACCAAAGGATTTAATGACTAATGAGAAATACCTTCATAACGTCACGCATTCGGGATCAAATGAATTGATACTGAAAGAAATAATGTACTTTTTCTTCAGCACCGGAAACATGTACAAACGAACGGCAACGGACGCGATATTAATGTGGGAGGCAGGCGTTAACGTTTAACATTTCTTAATTCTTCTTATCTTATTTGAAAGACAAACATTGATTGAAATAAAGTGCCAATTATGAAAT